AAAAACAAGCTAAACTGTTGAGTTACAGTTACTTAATAAAATTGAGTATTCCCATGAGAACCTACCTGTGAATGACCTACTTCCTTTTTTCCCCACTGACCTCTTTTTCTGATACCATGGATTAACCCCGCTCAGCCTTCCTTCAGCACTGCAGCCAAAGCGCAAATCAGCACCATCAGCACCAGACAAGTGCTCCATCTTAACATTTTCCTCCTACACTTGCTGAGCTGCAGCATATACAAACAGGTATGTTTATTCATCTTTTTACTCCCAGAACCTCACTTTAGATTAAATCCTTTTTTTCATTCCTCTTCCCCAGTGAGTTGAGGAGCACAAAACACGCATCACACTCTGTCTTTATTTCTCACAGGCAGATTTTCCTACTATCCTCTCCTAAAAGGCTCCTCTCATTCCCTGGAACATATTAATCCCTCTTCTCCACAGATGCTCCAATTTGGTGTTGAGGGGGGGAGGTGAGTATAGAAGTGTGTTTGGTATTGCCAGGGAATATGAGAATCCTACTATGTCTTTACTGAAATCACCTCCTCTGAGGTGCCCCTTTGCATTTTTCATGCATAAGATTGGTGGCTTATGGTAGTCTTAGGATCTGAAAAAACAAATAATGACACGATCTCATGTCATTCTTTAGGCTTTCAGGGATGAAAAAAGGGAAAACGTGGAACTACTAAAGAGTAAGTCTAACGAGAATAAAATACAAACTAGGTTGCAACTAGCTAATAGAAACAAAATGTACCAAAGATGTGGTAAGTGCGAATCTTCAAATATAGTAACGGAAAGAGTTAACATCTTATCTAAGATTAGGCAAAAAGATTCAAAATCCTAAGAACCAGTAGGATTAACAAAAAGACCCCTTTACAGGATCTACCAGCTACTGTTATGTCTCTCATAAATGACTGTCATTCTCTGTGTCATTTTGCTGGATTCCCAACAAACATTTTAATGGTATTTACCGCCGAGGAGAGCCCTCTCACTGCTGTGACTCAAGGTCCTCAATAACTACTTGTCTGTTGTGAAATCTAATGTGAAGGGCAAACACTACCAGTCCATAGCACACTCAGTTCTACTAAATTGCTTAATTAATATATTCAATACAAATGACAAATTATGTTACATCCTTTACTTCCATGCCTTTAATTATCCTGTCTTTCAAAACATTAAAAAAGTCTTACATCACATAGTTGGTCTTAAAAGCCAAAGATTTATGGCTATGGGCTGATTGCATCATTTTATTTCCTTCTTTCTTACACATTTCAGCTCATACAGCTTTTTGTCTAGATTTAAGACCTAAGATGTATGTAAATCTATTCCTAAACACAGAATATGAGGTAAATATGAAGTGTTATGTGGAGGGAAAAAAACAACCCTGATTTCATCCATAAAAAAATGGACTTGTAGTAGTATTAACATTCAGGACAAAATAATCACATCCTAAAAGAGTCAAATGAAAATATTCACTCAGTGACAAGCAGGAGTCAAAAAGAACTGAGAAAAATGCAGGCAAAAAGCACTAGTAATGTTCTTGTAACCTTCAGGGAAGGGAAGAAGGTTCAGGAAAAGGTACAGTTTGATTTTTTTTTTTTAAATGTTCCATATAATTTACATGAACTGTGAACTAAAAAAATAGGTGTGGCAAATGAGGTTTTCATAATATTTAGAAAGGAACAACGGTTTGGGGGTTTATTTTTAAAAGTCAAATTCACTGTCACATACCAGGCACATGTGACAAACCCAGAAGTGAAGGGTATATAAGAATAATTCTTTTTAATGTCCTTGTCTGTATGATAGACACATTAACCTCACAGGGTAGTGAGATGGGGAGGAAAGCAGGTAAGGGCACATGTACACACAAGAGGGACTTCACTAGTCCATGTAAAGGATGGTTCCTCAATCCCACATGCAAGTTCACACTTTAGCATTTTTGCCATGTGCTCCCTCTTCAGCCCTCACTGAATTAGTGCAGTTTTGGCATGGATTCCCTGTACAGTTTTAGGTCACACACCGGCAGAGAACAAAAATTCACCATAGGAAATTCACAGCTGCTGCAAGCAACACACTCAAATGTGCAACCTGAATTCCCCTTCATATATATGGGCATCACATGAAGTAAAAAGCAAGGTTAAGGTTTGTGTTTGAAACATGACTTGGAGAACTGAAGATAGTCGTAGTCTGATGTTACACACTACAGCTAAAAGAATAATTACAGACTAGAAAGGAGCTTAAGAACACACTTGGATATCACAGTTCTGCGTGAGATAAGGAGCATAAAGCAGTCAGGACTAAATGTCAGTCTTAACAGTGATTTCCTTATGTATGTGATTGCTCTGATAGTGATGGACTTCAGTAGCTCTCCCTAACATTGAGTCACATGAGCTTAGGAAGCAGAGACAGCAACAACGTAGAAAAAAACAACCTAAACCTTACCAACCTCATGAACGTTCTTATTTTATGCATGTTAACTCTAACATAATTATCTCATGGAAATCCTTCAGCATATTACTGCAAATTACTCACAGACTGAAAGAACATACTATAAAACATGCAAAAGCATTTAAAGAAATTCCATTTACACTGTCTTCTGAAATGCTTTCATATTAGCTTGTGTGTAATCTTGTCCACCTGACAGGCTCTGTAACATTCAGGTTGCTGTACTAATGCATACACACATTCAGAATAAGTGCATAATTTAGTGCTCAGTAAGCTGTGGCTAATGCATTAAGCAGTAATGCTCAACTCAAAAATATTATTTTATTTGGTTCAAGTAACAGATGAAAACTGGCCTTCAGCCTCAGCCCTCAAAACAATGCAGGTTACTTGACAAAACATCATACAGTATGTACAATTATTTACAATGTCTCAAGAAACTTCAGTGAAAACCATCCTTTTGTTTCGCACAGTTAGCTTTAATTAATTCTCTGTAGATTTTTAATCAAACTGTGTAAAAGATCAAACTACTTCCTCAGATAGAGCTGAAATTCTTGAAAATGTCTCTTTTTTTTGGAGTAGGCTAAGTAGGCAAATTTCTCAATTTCACCTGGAGATGATGCATATTTTCACAGCATGAATATATGAAATTATTAACCTTTTCCATCAGGAATCTGCTCATGCTCTTGTTTTTCCCCTATATAGTTTTCAATAAATTTTAACATCATGTTTTATGCATCTCACTTCTCAGACTCTATATACAGTCCACAGCCTTTCTTTCCCTAGTTAGAGAAGTTGTTCTTTGAACATTTCTCCTTAGGCATGTACCTAATTGTTCTCCTAGGTATCCTTGCTGCAGCTATACTAGAAAACTTTATTTAAAGGTGATCAAGATTTTGTGGAAACTCTTCTTCCCACTCCCCGAATGATACCTCACATCTAAACCTCATTTGGGAATTTTCATCTTCTCAGCTACTTACAGTCTTCATTCTTATTATGGTAAAGCCTAGGGCAGCACATGTCTTTTGGCATAAATCATTAATGAAAAGCTGCATAAGACACCACCTTTCATTGCATTTAAGCCATCTGGCCCATTTAAAAGCTCTCGATATTTAATCCAAGATTGCTGAGAATGAATGAACTGAATGTCGAGTACCCCTTAACATTTAAAGAAAAAGGGCACAATGAGGACAGCTCTTCCTGGCCACCTTAACAGCACATTCTCCTTAAAAGGGTCACTGTTAATGGTAGCACAATATAGTTAGTTCAGCCTCCCCTGCTCAGAGTCCTTGAACACCATGTTGAAATAGGCAACACTGGGCAACAAACATCAGCAGCATTTTGGGTCGTTCCCTACATGCTCACTAAGCACCTAAGAACTCAAACTGTATCTACCCTACGTGACACACTGCTCTCAGTTTACTTAATCAGGACTGGTTTTACAGTCAATGTTTTTTACATTCTCAGTTCTCTCTCTGAAACTCTTTCTTTGCTTTATCCATGGCACCCAGTCAACGGCTTTCAACTTCACACCAAACACTTTCTTTCTCAACTTAAAAAGATTCCAAGTTGATTTTCAGAGTAAGCAATACTAACAGGAATGAAAAAAAAAACACCAAAAACCCAAAAAAACCCAAACTCAAATAACTTGCTCAAACAATAAAAGGACTGCCTGGAAGCTGACAAGTTCAAGGGGGGAAAAAACCCAACCCACATAGAAACCTTTTATTTGTAAGTTCTTTTCTTCGTGTTTACATATTATGCAAGCATAACTAGTAAAGACCCAGTGCTACTGTGGTTTTTAAAGAAGAAGGAAAGTGTAGTAATGCCTGTGTACTCCTACCTCCTTCAGCATAAGAGGAAAAAGAAAGTTAAGTGAATAACAAGTGATCCATATTCCCTGGCTGTACAAAATGTACTCTGTACTTACTGAGGATGCCCGGGATACATTGACAGGACAACTGAATTGTTTGGTTTGTATGATTTTCAGGAAGGAATCTGTTTCTATCATAAACTCTTTAACTGCATGTGTACAGAAGGCAATCATTTCACTGCAGATAAAGTACAAGGCTACTTTGGAATCCACACAGGGAGAGACTACATGAAAAAGGCCATTTTGTACAATTTCATCTGTCTCATGGCATGATCCCACACATCCAATATGAGAAAATGAACTATTTAACATTTGCATACAAATTACATATTTGTGGGGTTTGAGGCATGGCTCCCTCTGTGATCTTGGGCCAATTTCTGAACCTCTCTAAATCTCTGCTTCCTTATTTGCAAAGCAGATTAATATTAGCTATGCAGGATGGGGTGAGGCATAATTAACTCCAGTTTGTAAAGGGCTTTCTGATCTTCAGATACAATGTAAAAGAAGGACTAGAAAAATCCATTTAAGAAGCAAAGAAACATGTAAACCCATGGCCACACAACAAACATTTGGCATATCAACTTCATACAGAAAATTTTTACTAACATTTCTTTGTAGTAGCAGCAAAAATTATATTAACAGAAAGAATAAAATATGTATATTAAAAATAGCTTAATTCACTTACTTCTTCCTAATTTCTAGGTCTGAGACTGGAACACATCTGAGGCCAGCTCCCAATACCATGAGGGATGAAGTTAGTAACACAGTTACCCTCAAACCTAAGACAAAAAAAACAACAGTATTTTACAAGTTAAGTCAGTAGCATTGCAAAAAAAAATATTGCTTAAATACATATATATATTTACATACAGTCTCACAGAAGTAACACATATCTCATTCAAATCATAAGCAATTTGGTGCTGACATGAATTCCTGACACATTCTGAAACCCTGAGTAATTTTCTATACTTATACTGCAGAATTACAAAGGCTTCCTCTTGGCATACTAATGCACAGGAGCATATCCAAAATCTTTACAGGCATTCCGAAAAGTAAAAAGTGGTAATAAAAGTATCATCAAAATGTACAATATATCCTTTAGAATTAGAGGCATTGGGGAACATGCTCTAGTGTGTGATCTGAAATCTAGGTATACATAAAGAAAAATCTGGTCATTTTCATTCTTCTCCAAGCACTTAATGAGCAAAGGCACAGCACTGTTATTGTTTTCTTTTGTAATGCAGATATACATTTCATTCCGAAGAAATAACCATTTATTCAGGGGGAAAAGTGCGAGTATTTTTTTGCAGTCCTAGCAATTAGGCCAGGTTTTTGCTGCTCTCAGCTCAAATTGTCAGAGATTGTAAATATAGTACATTAGAAAAAAGCCACAATTGACTGATTCCTTGAGTATGTTTTTTCCTCATACTGTGATTCTCGAACGAGAAGCACTTAGATTAGAAACAACCTTATCTTAGCACTGCAATTCCTTTTGCCAGCAGCGTATTTGCTGCTGCTAAGGTGCTTCCATCAGCAGCTGAGAACAGTGGCAGCTGACGGGCTCCAGAATCTTGTAAAACACCAGTATCGTAAATATGCACAATTAAAAACCACAGAGTCTACATCTGTGAAGTTGTAAATTCTGAAACAATTTCACAGCAACAAATAGAAAATAAAGGGTTTCCATGTTATTAGTAGAACATAATAAAAATTATTAATGATGACAAACATGCAGTATCTCTAACATTTAGGTAAAACTAATTGCTACTCAAAACATAGATGGAAAAACAAAAAGTCCCTATGATAACTCACCTATCAAAAAAACCAGCTTTGATTCTTTCTAAAACTACCCATATTCAGAGTACTCCTTCCTCTAGGTTAGTCACTCCTGTATTCAGTACAATTACAGAATCACAGAATATTCTGAGTTGGAAGGGACCCACAAGGATCCTCAAGTCCAGCTCTTAACTGAATGGTCCATATAGGGATCAAACCCACAACCTTGGTGTTATTTGCACCATGTTCTAACCAGCTGAGCTAATCTCATGGTCAACCAATAGTTACATGAAATACTTTGTCTCCATGTGAATTGTATGGGAGTTTCAGAGCATGTATTCTACTAAAATGTAATTTCAGTGGATGAGACATTATTTTGCTCGTACTGCAACAGCTCTGAGCAAACCTCACTCACAAGTATGCAACTCCTTGTGCTGGACACTCCACAAACCAAACCAAAGACAAGTTTCTCTTTCAGTCAGCCTTAGCCCAGGAAAACCCAAACAAAAATAAGTTAATGTTAGAGGTTTTCTGAAATGGAAGTACGACTTCCTTTGGTACAGCTCAGTCATTAACACAAGGAATGCCACCAGCAGTGACGTGACTCCAAGGGACACCTCACATCCCTAATGCCCTGGAGAAGTATCATCAGCCGAGAATATTTGTTCCCTTGGGAGGATTTCCCAATGCTTGCCCAGACTTACTTGCTTGACTTTGTGCTCAACTGCTGTTAAACTGGTTTTTCAGGTGTGTGTGTTCAGAGAGCCCAACCAAATGCCCAGATAATACGGCTGTTCAAAACCTTCATGGTCTTCAAGTTTGCTGTGCCACCACATGAGACTTCATGCCATGCTTAAGTCCCTATTACCACACTGCCTATGTTGGGGGGGCAATTGTTTGTATCAGGATCTCACATGTGATGCTTTTGCCTCTTCTCCTGAGAAATGAATCTGTTAGCACTGCTTTTGTGTATAATGAGAACTTGTATGCACTAAGAATTAGAATTTTATTGACGGGAAATTGAAACACAAGACTTTTAACTGAAAAATCTGAAGTCTGCCATTAGGAAACACTGACAAAATATTTCAGGAAAGCTCTAGTACATATCACCTTATTTTTCATATAAAGCAGGGTCTTTTTGAATTACATTTCACAAAACATGATGTGTTCTGCCTTTCAGGAGGACAGAGATCAGCCTGGAAGGTGCTGCTCATAGGGTGCCACAGGAGGTACTGGCCTGGGGCAAGCCCAGGGCACAGCAGTAAAGGAGTATTATACAAAAATTAAAGTTTAAAGACACAAGATGAGTGTTTACATATAAAAACCTTCTATTTGGTTTTTAGTTTAAAAAAAAATCCCCAAAGCAAAAAATACATAAACCAAGAAAGCTTAAAATTAAATCTGCACAAAAGTTTCCTTAAAAAAAAAAAAACAACAAAAAAAAAACCAAAAAACCCCAAAAAAAGAACAAACGAAAAAAAAACCCAAACCCAAACCAAACCAAACCAAAAAAACCCACACCAACTCAACTTACAATTCAGTGAAAACTGAATTGGATGCTGAAGTTTGCCTCCAGCCCTAAATTTAGGCTTATCTTTAATGTCAACCTTACATGCTGGGTAATCTTAAAGTAAAATTATCACTTATAAATGTTTGGATTGCACAGAATATTTTTCG